TCAGATAATCTACCAGTAAATGAGTGCCTTTCAAGATGTTCAGTAGTCAGATGATTGTACTTGCATTGCTGCAATGAATAAAAGTATAATCTCCCCCGATTTCTCATAATACAAAATCTGCGTATCCTCTTGGTGAGCCAAAGAAATGGGAATCAAACAGATTGCTTGGACTTCGACCGCCGAGACCAGACCCTACAGATCTTCGACTTTCCAAAGGCCATGAGTAGCATCAATTGTGTCCACCACCGCGTTAACCCAGCTGATGGGTGGTTTTGGGAAGGAAATTTTAAAACCCAGGAGAGAAGGGATCTATTTATCATCCCAAAAATTGATGGAAGCACCATTATACACTTGCCAACGGACACCATTGCACAGGATTTTTCTACTTTGAATCAAACTTGCCCAAACCCATGAGGCGCACCGACCTCTCGAGGCTTCCATGAAATTAGAATGCGGAAAGTAGATTCCCTTAAGCATTCTAGCACAGAAAGAATTAGGATACTTTACCAGGCGCCATCCTTGCTTTGCTACCAAGGCTAGATTGAAGTCATGAAAGTCTCTAAATCCCAACCTCCCTTCAGATTTTGGCAGAGCCAACTAGGCCCAATTTACCCAATGAATGCCCTTACTCTCCGGGTCACCATTCCACCAGAATTTTCTTATAAGAGAATTGAGCTTGGCACAAAATTTCTTAAAGAAGATAAAGCACGCCATGGCGTAAGATGGGATGGCTAGCACCACAACTTTAATTAATGTTTCACGCCTTGCATGAGATAACAGTTTAAGTTTCCAGCCCTGCAATTTAGCTTATACACGCTCAATAATAAAACCATAAGCCTCCGCCTTTGACCTCCCCCAAAAAAGTTGGAAGGCCTAGATACTTTGCATCAACCGGAGTTTCTCGAAACCCAGAGAGATTTCTAATGCTACTCCGAAGGGGGAAAGGGACATTGAGCGAGAATTTGACACTAGACTTGTCAAAGTTGACCAATTGACTGGTTGCATTACAATAGGAACTCAAGATATCCAAGATCTTCAAACATTCAGACTGATCTGCTTTGAGGAACAATAAAACGTCATCCGCAAAGAGCAAGTGAGAAAGAGTGGGACAGTGTCTATTGATCTTGAAACCCGAAATTTGTCCCATATGAAGATTGTGAGTGATCAATTTGGATAAAACATCCACAACTAGGATAAAGAGATACGGAGAGAGAGGGTCTTCTTGTCGCAACCCTCGAGACGGAGTAAAAGCAGCCCGCTTTTCACCATTAACAAAGACAAAAAAGATGACCGTAGTGATACATTAGGAAACCCACTGGATCCATTTCGGAGCAAAACCCATTCGGCGTATAAGCTCCAATAAAAAATCCCATTCAACTTGATCGTAAGCTTTATTGAAATCTAGTTTAATGGCCATAAACCCATCACGCCCCGTCCTCTTATGTTTTAAAAAGTGAAAAGCCTCATGTGCTATGATAGAGTTGTCTTGAATCATTCGTCCCGGCACAAAGGCCAATTGATTGGGAGAGATTAGAGATTTCAGAATTTGTTTCAGCCGGTTTGCAAGGATCTTGGTGATGATCTTCAGAGTGAAATTACACAAGCTAATAGGCCTGAACCGAGATAACTTCACTGGGTGACTCACTTTGGGGATAAGCACCAAATTGGTGTGGTTTAGTTCTTTGAGGAGATGACCACCTAGAAAGAAACTGCGAACTGTAGTGCATACATAAGGCCCAACCACAACCCAGTACTTTTAATAGAAACACCCTGGAAAACCATCGGGCCCTGGAGACTTAACTGCACCCAATTAAAACACCGCAGCCTTTACTTCCTGATCGCTAAGGGGTCGCACCAGAAGTTGGTTCATGGACTCAGAAATGACTGGAGTCACCATAGATAAGACATCCTCCACATTCTTTTGCCTAACGCTGTGAAACAAATTTGAGAAATACCCTGAGAGATGCTGATTGATTTCATGTTCTGTGTGTAGCCAAACTCCCGCCTCATTCTGAAGTCTCAAAATTTGATTTCGTTGACGACGTTGAATCATTGAGGCATGAAAGAAGTGGGAATTCCTGTCACCATAACTCAACCATCTAATACGAGACTGTTGATGCAAATACATCTCCTTGCAGGATAAGGCATCCTTCAAATCCACCTTCAACTGACGTTGCAAAAGAGCATTATCCTTCAAAAAGGGGTAAGATTGAAGAGATATGAGTTGGGATTTCAGAGCCAAGATTTGAAGCTGAGTATTTCCAAAAGTCGCTTTACTGCACACCTTGAGTCCCTCCTTACAAGATTTCAACTTAAAGACTAGCTGAAACATTGGAGAGCCAAAGTGTTGACCATCCCAATTTGATCGAATGACATCTTCACAAGCTGGGCTTGTTGTCCACATGTTTTCAAATTTGAAAATTCTAGGAACCTTCTTAAGCAGAACACAACAACTGAGAAGAAGGGGACAATGATCAGAGCCAAATAGGCCTTCGTGAAAGACTTGGGCACACGGATACAAGGATCTTATTAAAGTTGATGTATAGAGAAATAGAGAGAATGAATTATGTATTGATCTGTTTTGTACAATGGTTCAGGGGCTCCTTATAAAGGAGAAGTTTACAAACAATGCACCCAAAAGCAACCGAAAGCAAAGACATCATGATTACAGCTTGGACACTTTACAGCTAATAACATATAATACATTAACAGCCCCCCTCAAACTCAAGGAGAATAGGAACTAACCAACTTGAGTTTGAAGAGAGTAACAAAACGTGAAAATAAACGGACAAATAAAATAAAATAGGATAGGAAACACTGTATGGTCGGGTCAGACCGTTGGTGAAGACACTGTATGGTCGTGTCGAACCGTTGTAAAAGCTAACCGGAATCAATGTCGGGACAGTTTACGGGGTCATGCCGGACCGTTGTAAAAGCTAACCGGAATCAATGTCGGGACAGTTTATGGGGTCATGCCGGACCGTTGTAAAAGCTAACCGGAATCAATGTTGGGACAGTTTATGGGGTCATGCCGAACCGATGTAGAAGCTAACCGGAATCAATGTCGGGACAGTTTATGGGGTCATGCCGGACCGGTGTAGCAGACACTGTGTGGTCGTGTCAGATCGTGGGAGCCCAAAAGATATATATATATATATAGATATATATATCGCACCCTCAAAAGTCGTGCCCAATCTATCAAAAGGCGTGCCATCAAAAGGCGTGCCCAACAGAAATCGTCGAGCGGCGAGCTATCAAAAGGGGCGCCGGACACGCGGCGATGCACGTGACCGACAGAGTGTCGTGGCGTCCTCTTCGGCATTGTCTATATAAACCAAGCGAAGCCTGAGGCTTGGAAGCAGAACAAACCAGTTGAAACCTCTTCGTTCTCTGAGAGCTTTTCTCGAAGAGCTGCAAACCCTGAAACACTCTGTAACATCTGAAACACTCAGTAACCCATAACATGGCCTCTTCTTCCCGTTCAGCTACCCAGAACATGGCCTCTTCTTCCCGTGGTCTGCTCACTCTCTTTCCCGACCTCAACGAGTCCACAAGAGAGATAACCGATGCGGTGGCCCTTGAACCTCAACCAAGCGCCCCTGGTTTTGCTCCGTTGACCTTTCCTATGCGGTCTATGGAGCAAATAATGGCAGCGCAATCGAATATTGAGGCCAATCAGTATACATTGAAGTCATGTATGGAGACCATGACTGCAGTCACAAACTTGTCGCACCGGCTTCAGAGTAGGACAAATGAGGTACAGCAGTTAAACGCCCAACTGGCTCTGCTCTAGCGCATGTATAAGGATGCGCGAGCAGAAATATGTGTACTAAAGGCGGAAAACAAGGAGCTGAAGCGGAAGGCCACCGTTATGTTCCGATTTGGAGGTCCGCCATATGCTGCAGTGGAGGAGCAGGGGGGAGTGAACGTGTTCAGTGGATTAGGAAGTACTGAGACCGGGCTGTCACGGGACACCCAAGATAAAAGTAAGAAGAAGAGAATAGTGGAAGAGGCAAAAAAGTAAGGCCAGTGTTTGGGATGGGATTTTTTGTTTGTTTGTTTGTTTGTTTGTTCGTTTTTTTTTTTTTGTTTGTTTTTTTTTCGGTTGTGGTGTAAAATTGTGATCGGGGTTGATCCTGGCATGAAAAAAGGACAAGTTTGTGGAATGAAAACCGAGTTGGTTGTGAATGGATTTTTTTTTTTTTTTTTTGGAATATAAAAAAATAATAAGATAATGGAAAAGGGGTTGATGCGCACCAACTGAGTTGTATAAGAATGAAATATTGATGGAAAAAGAAAGATAGAAAAAATAAAATAAAATAAAATGAAGGTAGTGGGAACAGGAATCTGGAAAGGCAATGGAAATGTAGGATTTGAATTTGGTGGTTTTGTGAATAATAGTCTGTGATGGTATGCTGGCACTTTGAGTATTGGATACTATTGTGCTTGTGATAAAAGAAAATAAAATAGGATAAAATAAAAGGGTATGGTGGTATGGCGGAGAGACACACGCTGGACACACACAGAACACACAGGACACAACAAAGATAAGATAAAATAAATAAAGGTATTCTATTTTGTGGTGAGGGAGTCGGTGAGTGGGGTGCAAAAGGTGAAGGAAAGGGTTGCAAAGTTGACAAAGTGGTGGATGTCCTTGAGTAGACAGAGATAGAGAGAGAGTGAGAAGTGTGTTTTCAAACTGCCAAAAGGAAGAGAGAGAGAGAGAGTGGGTTGAGTAAAAATATTTAAAATGTTTTCATCATAAGAAAAAGAAGTGAGTGGGTGATATTATATTAAGAAGTTGGGTCCATGGAGAGAGACGTGAGGTCAGGTTGGAGTCTCGAAGGCAGTGACCTTCTTGGCGATGAAGTCTCAGCTGTTCGTGGAAGCACCGAAGGCCAACGACGCTGTAGAGTTCTACAAGGCCGCGTTTGAGAGAGAGAGAGCCCATGAGAGAGAGCTTCGGTGGTGTTCAACGACGCTGTAGACACTTTAGCACTTGCAAAGACAATGGAGTACATCCACTATGAAGATGAAAACAGTCGGTACATTACCATCGAATGTGTCGAGAAGATTTTATGCATGCTTTCTTGTTGGGTGAAAGATCCTAATGGTGATTATTTTAAGAAGCATCTTGCTAGAATCCCAGATTACATCTGGGTTGCTGAAGATGGAATTAAAATACAGAGTTTTGGCAGTCAAGAATGGGACACAGGTTTTTCCATTCAAGCAAGATTGGCTTGCAATATGCTTGAAGAAACAGGGGAAGTTCTTAGGAAAGGCCATGATTTCATAAAGAAATCACAGGTGAAGGACAACCCTTCTGGTGATTTTAAAAAGATGTTCAGGCACATTTCTAAAGGATCTTGGACTTTCTCTGATCAAGATCATGGTTGGCAAGTCTCAGATTGCACAGCAGAAGGGTTTAAGTGTTGTCTGTTGCTGTCTCAATTGCCACCTTAAATTGTTGGTGATGGGTTGACTGGGTGAGTCAAGGACAGCGACTCGAAGGAGTTGGGCGTGAAGGTGGTGCTGGCAGCCAGGTGTGCCAGGTCTATGGTCGAGAAACGGCCGGAAATGTTGACGCCGTGGATTGCTTGAGGGCGGTGAAAGAGAGTGTCGTCGCCGATGTGAAACAACCTAGGGCAGTGCGTGGAGCATCGCATGTGAGAGGCTCCGACGAGAGCGTTCCAGTCGATCTTGGGGAACATGTGTCGAAGAAAGTCGGGGTTGAAATCCACAGGCTTCTCGATCACTTTCTGGACTTCGATTCGGAGAGGGAAGCCATTGGTGACCCCCTTGATGTTGGATGATACCATGTTGTGGGTTAGCAGCCTCATCTCTGTGTGTGTGTCATGCCCATCATTGTTGCAGACATGGTGTTCGACGAAATGTCCCAGAGGAATTTTGGGTTTGCTTCGGCGAGGTGGTGAAGAAGAGTGAAGGTATGTGTAGAAAATTTTAGCGGACTAGGTTGAGGTCTGGCAGGCGGCCAAGGCGAGGTTGCCGCCCGCCGGTGAAGCGAAAAATACTAAGTTCTTAACCTAGCTCTGATACCATATTAAAGTTGATGTATAGAGAAATAGAGAAAATGAATTATGTATTGATCTGTTTTGTACAATGGTTCAGGGGCTCCTTATAAAGGAGAAGTTTACAAACAATGCACCCAAAAGCAACCGAAAGCAAAGACATCATGATTACAGCTTGGACACTTTACAACTAATAACATATAATACATTAACAGATCTCCAACCCACAAGGATCTCTACCCCACCTGGTTATTTGACCATGTATAGGGTGGACCCTTAAACTCAAGGTCCATAAGGCCATAATTAGAAAGGAGATCTTGGAAGGCTTGTAGTTGACTCAAACGACAATGTGCACCGCCGTGTTTCTCCAACTGAGCCCCAATCTCATTGAAATCTCCAATGCATAACCAAGGATAATGAGATTCAGAAGCCATATTTTGAAAGAGAGACCAGAAAGCCTTACGAACAGTTCGCTGAGGAGGGGCATAGACAAATGAGGCAGCCCAACCGTAGATTTATTCGAAGGAGTAATGATGCCCTTAATCAAATTTTTTGATTGATACCTGATGTCAATTTCTTCATCGTCTGTCCACCAAAGCGCCAGGCCTCCTGAAAGGCCAGTTGGTTCCACATAACTCGAATTTGTAAAATGCAAACGCCTTCTGATTCTTTCTAGACTACCCGTTTTATTTTTTGTCTCCATGAGGAAGACCACCATAGGCCGATGGGTTGACATCAACCCTCGGAGGATCCAGACCGTCAAGAGTCGGCCTAGCCCCTGACAGTTCCAGTTGAGAATCAACGTGGGGGCTGTGGCTGCTTGGGGCCAGCCACCACAACCCTATCAACATCAATAGAAGATAATTCCTCAAAAGGTGTTCTTGGGACCTATGAACAACAATCATCAAACGGAGTCAAAGAGGGACAAACCTCATAGGTGGATTCCAGGGGTAAAGATTGGCTCGCAACCACCTAGACTTCATAAAGAGTCTGAGAATCATATTGATGTACCCTCCCCAGTTGCTTCTTTCCTCTCCCGCGATGGAAAGGCCTAGGTTTCGTAGAAAGAGGGCATGGAGAAAGGGTAATCAGAGCTGAAACAGTGCTAGCAGAACCCGCAGCAAGGATAGGGACAAATGGCTTGTCTGAACACTTAGAAACCTTGCATTTCGGGACTGGTCTGTCCTCCTCCTCGTTGGCTTTACGTTTGATGGAGAGACTGTGAAAAACTTGGGATATACAATCATCCACCACTATGGTTTTAAGATCTAAACGAACAGGGCTGGTAGATGGACTGAGCTCTTCAATATTTAGTGGGCTTGATGATTGATTTCCATGGGCCATAGGAAGAGAAAAGGCCTGGATACAATCAGTTGGTTCAGTTACAAAATAACGTGGTCCATTAGAAGGAAATACTCCTGCTGATGTTGGGCCAATTGGACTCTCCTGAGGGGCCAACTCCTCTGCCAATAGCCCAACAGATTGATCCCAAATATACCCAACCAAGCTAGCCCCCGTTTCCGCATACGGCTTCACCAGAGGGAGGTTTTGGACCATTGTGTTACACCTTGCAGACCCAGCTGCTCCGTCTCTCTTTGCCAAAATCTTCGTAGTACAGACATCAGGATGTGCATGAGCACTCGTTACTGCCTCCACTATCCCAGGTTCAGTACGAAACCCACGTGTCTCAATCGTACTCACATTTCTAGAATCCGTCATCTTGCCCGACAAACTTTGCTCTGGTGACCCGGATCGGTGTAACAGAGGCCTTACACGTTCATCCAATTCGTCCACCTTCTTCCGATAATACTCGACCGAGAAACCAGTGTTACGAGCTATCCCAGTACGTAAATGTGGCCCATAACCAGACTTACTCCCTGTTTCTCTCGACACAAACTTACAAGAATGTCTATCATGGCCAAGACGTCCACAATCAAAACAAAAATCGGATAACTTCTCGTATTTGAAAGAGACCCACGGGGTTGCTTCGCCCTCACCACGTGCTTGACTAGTATGGAGAAAAAAACCTCTCGGAATGGGTTTTGTAACATTAACTCCCACTCTAATTTGAAGAAAATTCCTGTAAAGAAGAAGGCCCTCACAGTGAGCTTCCACTCGGATAAGGCGGCCAATCTTAGCCCCAATAATGTCCCCATTCCTCTTAGTCAGCTTTTCAAGAGGAAGCCCATAAACTTGGACCCAAAAAGGTCACCAGGAGAAATCTATGTCTCTGACTGGGACGCCCAAGACAAGGGGATTGAGAATAAGTAAAGACCCCATAATAGACCAGGGGCCCTCCCGCTAGACCCGAAAAGAAAAGTATTGTCATTCTAAGAAGAGATGGTAAAGGAATTTCTAACCTTCCACGAAACATGGAGGATGTTCGAGACTGCTTGTTTGTTGAGCTTCTTGGAGGCCAGAATCCTACCAACTAAGCACCGGTGAGGTATTTCTTCGGAGCCTAGTAAACCATCCTCCAACTCAATGGTTCCCAAATCAGACGAAGTGCTCGAGACAGTCGCCATCTAAGAAAAGCACAACTCAACGAAAAAGGAGGCTCAAAGGATATTCTAGAATAGCAGGTGAGAGAAAAGAGACAAAGACGAGGCTACAAAGACCCTCACAAGAGAAAAAAACACGGAGACTGGGATTAGCCCAGAGAAATCCACCCTAGAGTAGAGAGCCCCTCATCCTAGAGAGAAAAAACCGAGCAAAAGACCATGACTTCACTCTATTTTTATTACTTGCTAGCAGCATTCTTGTACTAGAAAGAAATTGAGAACAAAAAGGAGTGTAGCTTCATATTTATTTTGGGCAAACCCAAGAGAGAGAGAGAGAGAAGGAACTCAAACTACTTTGCTAGAGAATTCAAGTCCAGGGCATGGAATACAAGAAGAGAAGTAATGAGAGAAAGGAAAAGCTCAAGAATTTAAGGCAAATAAAGTTTAAGGTATGATTTTTGTCAAATTCTTGTATTACACTTGAATTAAAGATGAGATTCGGTTCAATTTCATATAATTTGGAAGAAATTAGGAAATAAATATGAAGAAATTAAGTTAGGTTCATGATTATGGAAATTAATTATTTTGGCTTTGATGATGTAGTCTCGCATGAACTTAAGCCTCATTGTTACATACATGGACAAATTCTACAAGTTTAATACTCTAATTAAACATGCAACATAGGATTTCAAGGGTTTGAGATGTTAATTAATGTTTTAAACGTTTATGGGTTTGATATGAAGAAAATTAATAAAAATCCAAATTAGAGAAATGCTAGTTAGTGTTGATCTTAATTTCATACATGCAAAGTTTCATAGCTCTAATTTCATGATTTAGAGGAAAATAGAAAAGACTTTAAGAATCAATTTTATGTAATTTAAAAGAAATTAGTAAAGGATGAAGGAATTGAATTAAATTCAAATTATAGAAATTAAATTAGAATTGACCATATTGTGGGTTTGCTTTTTGGTGTCTTGCATAAATTAGAATTTTAATTGCACATGCATCATGAAATTTAAGAAGATTTGAAGCTCAAAAATGTACAAGCTTTATGAACTTTCATTACAATATAAGACTTGAAGCTTTTGCATGGACAACTTTGCTTTGATTGAAGTTATAATTTTGTTTAAAGCTAGATATGTTAAGTTCACTATGTTCATGAAAGGTTTTGGGTCTTGAATTGCATGAAATTAGAGTTGGAGTTGTAAAATTGAGACTTCAAAAAAGAGACAGATTTTCGAACCAAACAGACCCAAAACCGCACGTGCGGCTTGGGGTCCCGCATGTGCAGAAAACAGGGCAAACTTGAGCTTCAGTACTGAAATAATTGCACGTGCGGTGGTGGTTTTGCACGTGCGGCTAGTGCCCCCGCACGTGCGGTTGTTAAGGTGGTCTCGGTTTTGTTTTCACTCCATTTTTCTACCTTTCAGGCCTCCGTTCACATGGTTTAAAGTGTTTTTCATGTGCATTCGCATCTCATGAACTCGAATGAAACGAAAGAAAAAAATGTTAGAACCGAACGAGTGGACAACGAATAGAAACTGAATAAGTGAATAGAATCGATTGAATAAATGAATTGTGTATTGAGTTTTGTGCTTGACTTGTTTGTTTAGGTCGGACGCCGCATCCTTAGTGCATTGTTAACACGTGTTTTAGGGAGCCACTGTGAGTAACACTGTTGTTAAGTTATGTTCCATTATAATTATTTTCTGATTGATAAAAATGTATTGTTTTACTGAATTGATAATGTTTATTGATGAATGATTGTCCTATTTTTTGAACTGTACTCGTGGCATCCATAGCATATTGTTATTGTTATTGTTATAGAGATCTTTGTTATTTACAATTCTTGGAACTATTGTTGTTGCATTGATGGCCATCAAATGATTGTTTGGTCTTTAAGACCTATCGATTGTTCTGCTATTGGATGTACCACATATGACT